GCGCTCGGCGGCGGCAGCGCGAGCCCACCCCTCCCCCACCGGGCGCAGTCCCGGACGGTGAGTCCGCGAGCAGCCGGAGCGTGGGGCGTCCGTGCGCGAGCCCACCGGGACGAGGAGAGGCAGGGAAGTGCCCCAGCGTGCGTGCGTGCAGGGGGACTCTGGGGCGGATGCGAGTGCGCGCGTGCTCGCGGACCAGCGTGGAGAGCAAAGCAGGGACGGACCATCACCGGAACCCTCTCCGCCGCTCCGAAGACTCACCGGCACGCACCGACCCAAGCGGAACCTGAGCCCTCAGCTTAGTGTCCCCAGCCCTAGTCTAGTCACTTTCCCGGCGGGCGGCTTGAGCTGGCACCCACATCTTCCTGACCCCCCAACTCCCGCCCTCTATCACTCACTGTCGCCTTGAACCCAAAGTGCAGCAGGCGGTCCCTGCTCGGAGCCATTTTCCTCTTTTCTCTAGACGTCTCTGGGTTGGGGTAGTGCTGCCGCCGCCGCCGCCGCGGGTGCTGCTGCCGCCGCCTCCCCCGCCCCGCTGAATTGCATTCCGGGGTGCTGCGGGGAGGCCTGGGGGGCCGCTGCGGGGCAGCTGTCTCTCAGTGCCTGGCTGCCCAAGGCATGAGCTGGTGGCGCTAAGAGGCGGACCTAGCGCCCAGCTCTGCCCAGGGACTGGTAGCGAGGCTTCACCTCAGGGTCAGGGGGTGCAACGCCCCAGCACTGCACCCATTCCTTGGGCCGGGGGAGGGGCGCACGCCGGTGGGGTGGGGGCAGGCTAGGCACAAGGGCCTGTGGCATCCCCGCCCCTCCGGCCGGTGGCGCCCAATGGGCTGTAGTGGCTGCTTGCCCTCCAATCAGGGCGCTGGTTGGTGAGAGCCTCAACCTGACGCCATTTCGGCGGGAGAAACAAGCATGTAGGAGCGAGTAGGCGGGGGCGTCTGCCCACAGGAAACTAGGACTTTCATTGGACTAGGCTCCTAATATAGAAGCTAGTCCGTGTCATCCTATTATTAATGTAAACTCCAACCTTCAAGATTCTTAAACCTATGACCTATTGTCCTTGAATTATGAAACAATCTAGAGTGAGTTGCCCCTCAAAGATAAACAAATTACACAATGTACCAATCCTGAAGTATTAAAAATTATCATAAATTGCGCCAGTGCTCGATGAGGCCACACCGCTTTTAATTGTATACTCAAAGCACTTATGAGTTTGCCTCATATTTTTTAGTTTTAGTTAGAATCCGATCAAGATGAACATTTACAAGTAACAAGTGCTGCGAACCTTTAAAAAAAAACTTATTTTAGCTTGCTTACCTTAAAGTACTTAATTTTTTTTGAAACAGGTTTTTTAAAAATATTTATTATGTATACAATATTCTCTGTCTGTGTGTATGACTGCAGGCCAGAAGAGATCACCAGACCTCATTACAGATGGTTGTGAGCCACCATGTGGTTGGTGGGAATTGAACTCAGGACCTTTGGAAGAGCAGTCAGTGCTCTTAACCTCTGAGCCATCTCTCCAGCCCTTGAAACAGGTTTTATGTAGCTCCAGTTTTCCTGGAATTCAAGGGATCCACCTGCCTCTGACTTCCCAGTTATGGCATTTAAGGTGTGTATCACCATGCCTGGCCTAACTTTCTTTTTCCCCCTTTAAGAGGACTTCCTAAACAAACTCGCTTCAAAAAATTCAGTTCTTGGGCCCACAAAAACCTAGGTCCACATTATATTATCTTTGAATCCTACATGCTTTTAAAGCATTTCCTTTACTTCAGCCAATGGGAAAAAAATAAAAAAAGCAAAATTTAGAAGCTTAGAAGCATCCCAGCAAGGATTACTGGTGAATTCATAACAACTGCAATTAGGAAAAAGTGAGAAAAACTGACACACAGATGAATCAAATATAGGAAAAGAAAAATAAAACCCTGTCTCTTGGGTGCATTCCTGTGGCCCATTTAGAACACTGGTTTTTAGTTAGTTTGGATTTTGAGACGCTTACCAAATGAAAATATTCAAAGGGTAAGATTTTATGGTGATGACTCAACCCTGTAATCCGGCCACTCAGGAAGCCAAGGCAGTAAGGACTGCTAGTTCTAGATCATACTACGCTCATAGCAAGTTCTTGGTTGACATTGTCTCAAAGAGACAAACCTCAGAATAACAAAAGGCCATCACACCAACTCTTGGGAAAGGAGGGAAGGAAGATAGAGAGTTCAAGGTCTCTAGGTTACATAAAAACTAGTCTCAGAAAACAACAGAGGTCACCCAGGTCTACATAGTGACCCATTTAAAAAAAAAAAAAACAAAACAAATAAAACCTTCAGAGGCGTATTACTTCTTATCAAAGAAATTTATTTGAATGCAAAGCAACAGTTTTTTTGTGATGTTTTAGAGGGGGGAATCCCAGATTTTGTCCACTTTCAAAAAAAGAAAAACAAAACAAAATATTTACAGAACAGCCATACACACAAAAATCAAATCAGAACTACTGTAAAGACCCTTCCCACTGCTCCTGATCGGCATTTCTAAACTCAGAATTTAAAGCTCTGCTCTATCACTGAGCTTGTTTCCCAGCCTAGTTTCTAAGATAACACTTCCTGCCCCTCCAAAAGTTAACTCAAGTCAAAATAATTGGGGGCAGGGCTAAAGAGAAAAATAAAATAGAAAATGAGATTACCCAGGGATTGTGAATGTTTCCTATACTGACATCTACTGTGACTCAACTTTGGATACTATGTGACTCACCGGCTCCTCTGAAAATTCATATTGCTGTTCTAGATTTTCAGACCTTGGCCTGACAAAAGGAAAATCCCATTCAAGAGTTATCAACCTCAAGCTGGCTTTGGCAATTATATAAGGTCCCCTTCCTCACCTTGGAAACACTTGTTTTAAGATACAATGAATTTGAATCTGAAAAATTCTTGTACATCAGAGCAGACTTTGTCCAAAGACCCTTAACATGAAACCAGAAGACAGAACAATCAGGTCAAACTAACAATACAAGAAGTCCAGCAGCAGCAAACAGGTAGATGGTGACTTCATGTCCATGCCGTCTTTTGAAACAGGAGACTGAGTACACCTGGATGGGAGGGAGGTGTTGCAGGCTTGGTTTATTCTGCCTCTTCTCCTCCACCCTGTGGAGAAATGCAGTGCTCCCTGGTTCCCAGGCAGGGTGAAGCAGTTTAGCCCCGGCTCCCTGTTAAGCAAGTTCAGATGCTGGGTCATTGAGTGGGGTGTGCCCATCGACATTTCAGGGGCTTATCCTTCATCCAGATCCTAACTCGGGATTCTTTGATCTGGGATGAAGACAGAAAGAGAGAAAAAGCTTCCCAGTTTACTCATTTTGGTATTTGTTGGCTCTGCTTGGGGGGACTGAGCCCCTTATAACTATGCAGTACATTTCCCCATGAGATCAGCCCCACCCAGAACAAACTTTAACACCATATAACTTTAACTTTCCTGCAGAAACTAAGAGGATAGGATTCAGAACCAGGTGACAGACTTCTGAGAAATCCAACCTGGTTGTATATCTGAGACACTGCATCAGTACAAGATAAAGCACTCCAGTGTCACCTTGCCCGTGTCCTCGTTAGTGTCACCCAAGACAATGAACTCTGATAGGGTAACAGGTAACTTTTCTTGCTCCATTTTACAAAGTTTTGTTTCCTATTTATTGCCTTGGGACACAGAAATGGCAGAGTTGTTGAGAATCGATGACCAGAAAAGGGAGAACGCCAAAGGAAATGAGAAACAGTCAGGAAAGAAAGCCACAGTAGATTTTCCGAGTATATGCTAACTCCAACCTGCAGAGTGTTGGATATAGAAATCGTCCGCATCTGATGAAGTCAATCCACTTATAACATACACAAACATGAATCACCTGGCTTTTTTTTTTCTTTTTGTAATCCAGAAGAGTTGTGCTGGGGATTATGCCCCATCCCGCTGATAAAGATCCTGAACGGAATCATCAGGAATGGCACAGTGCAGGTGGCAAAATCAAAGTAAGGCCGCGGATTTTTGAGAGGACCCTCCAAATACTGAGAACTTTTGTTGCACTCAAAACGGTCTCCTGGATTTCTATATTTATGAGAAGGGTTTCATTTGATGTCCCTCAGAATCCAGACTCAGACCTGTTTCTCCAAAAAGGTCCAATTGTGTGCTACACAGTAGCAAGGTTTATCTTCATGCTCACTTAGCATTCCAGGCCCATTACTTCAAGTGAGCTTGAAATTGTTTTAAGTGAACTATGGCTGCATTTTTTTAAAACTGTTTATCTCGGGGAGCAGACAGAAGAGTGACTTAAGTCTGAACTCTTCCTCCTCGTGATGAAGAGAAAGAGTCCAGCTCTTAGGAATGGCATCAGCTCTCCTGCAAGCAAAATGCTGGGATGTAGACTTTTGGCACATTGTGGAACTAGGAGAACTATTAGTTCTGTAATGGTTTTCATACCTTAGGGTTTAGAATCTGAAAACCCTTCTACCCCCAAAAGCCATCCTTCCTTTTTAACAAAAAAAAAAAGATAATTTTTTTAACTGCATAGGGAGGTAACTTCTATTATTCCTATGTCTGAACCCTGTGAAAAACCTCCAAAGATAATAGTTTTGGTTTTTCTATTTAACTCCAAAGACAGGCTCTGATTAACCTGTGTGGGCTTGATGCTGCAGCATCAGCAAAAGCTGCAAGCTCCCCACCACCAAACAAACCTTGCCCTTCCTGCCTATCATTCTGAACCATAACCTTCATAGATTTAAGAACAAACATTGCATAAAAAAACATTAAGGATTAAAATATTACAAATAAATAGCTAAAATAATTTTCCCTCCCCCAATCACTCCTAAGAAACAGACACCAAACATTGCTTTAAGTGTCCAAAACTGCCAAAGTCCTTCCCTTGCCCATGCTTCAAATGGACAACTACCAAAGGTGAACAACCTTCATGCAAATGCATCAAGGAATGTATTGCTTTTTCATTTTTCTGCCCAGCCCTTCAAATACATGCACTAAAATGAGTTTAAAGCATGTCCTGAAAATGGAAAAAGGGAGAAAAAATATATATGAATATTTCCCACAACAGTTTTCCCACCCTTCCCTCTCTATACCCTTTCCCACCCCTCCCTATCTTAAACAAGTTTTTTTTGTTTTTTTTTTAAACATTTCTTTCTGGCAAAGAAATATGACTTGGTGAATAACCAACCCCATGGTCCCTTTAGTAGGGTTTAGATATACTTTTATAAATGTACCCAGCGTGGTGTAGAGGCCATGCCCATTAGGAATCTCAAGCACAAATCAGGCCTATCTGACTCACCCCTTGTGTTGGTTTACATGTAAATGTATCATTAGTTTCTTCTCTGGACTTATCTGTTTAGAAAATAAGGTTCTTAATTGCCAATCAGGGCCACATCCATAAGATCATCGTCTTCTTCCCCAATCATAAAGTCAGGGCTGAGCCTTGAAGGCCTGTCTGCAGATAAGATTGGGTTATTTGTCATAGACAATGCCTGATCTGAAGAAATAGGTGATTTAGACCAATTCTCTGGCTTGATGCTGTGAGATTTTTTCTTGTCTCTGTCCTTGTCTCTGTCGCGGTCTCTGTCTTTGACTTTCTTCTTTTCCTTTTTGTGCTTCTTATGCTTCTCTGTGCTGTATTCTGGAAGTGGTCGGACACCATCATCAGAGCTCGGACTGTTCTGGTAAGATTTCTCTGCTATGGAGGAGCCTGACTCACTTTCACTGTCCACATTCTGGGGTGTATATGCAGGCGACTTACTGTGGCTGGGAGAACCACGCTCATGCTTTGGAGTAGAACCACTGATCAACGGAGAACCATAGTTTTTTGAAGAGGCTATCTGTGGCCTAAGTCCTTCTCCACTACTTTCTCCCGGTTTCTGTAGAGTCACTTTGGCTTTAATGCTAGGGGAGCCTCCATCATGTTTGCTGATAATAATTTTTGCCACACCCGTGCTCCCCACATTTTTTGACTCTGAGGTCTTCTTAGAAGAATCCACTGAGCCTCCAGAAGTAGAAACCTTTGATTTGTCTTTATCGCTTTTCTCACGTTTGCTCTGGAATTCCCCTCCTGACATGTTATGTTTAGAGGACATGGGATGGTTAGAATTTGTGCTCACGCCCATCTGACTATCCATTGGATCCTCACCCCCAGGCCCACTGGTAACAACCCCGTGCTTCAGCTTATCAATAACAGCTGTCAAGGAAGGCTTCTTATTCCTACTGGGAGACTTCCCTTTGGAACTCCCATGCTGATTCTGAGAGGATGACATGGAAGACCCACTTGAGGAAAACGAGGAGGAAGATGATGTACAAGAATTAGATGCTGGGGGAGTTTTCTGAGACATTGAGCCTGAGGATCCTGACCCTGAAGATGACTTCGTGCCAGAACTTGAACTAGTTCCTGACATATGAGAACCACCAGAACCTGAACTGATAGGGGACTTGGCTTTAGAGGATGGGGGAGTCCCAGGAACAGGCTTCATTGGAGAGGCAAGCTTATCTGATCCTCCAGGAGGCCTTGAATGAGAAGGCGATATGTTTGGTTTACTCATAGAAGGATTCATAAGTGATGATGGCTTGCCTTGAGGTTTCATCTTGGTACTGCTAGACCCACTGCTCAGACCATGTTTGGTAATGGGAGATGAGCCTGGCTTTCCCCCAGTCTGAGATGAATTTTTTGACTGGCTGGATCCAGAGGACCCCTGGCTAGAATACATACTGCCACTTAGCTTGGAACTTGATGAGCCTTCAGATTTACTGCTTTTCATCTTGCCCGAGGTGGAAGCAGAAGATGAGGAAGAGGAGGAGGAAGAATGACTATGGTGGCTTTTACTGCCAGAGGAAGACACAGAACCACTGCTGGTGTACTGACTGTGAGAGGAAGGCTTACCCACCATCACTGTCCCCTTAGGAATCTGAATAGTGATTTTGGGGATGGGCGGGGTGGCAACACCTGGGGGAGTCTGAGACCTTCCTGAACTGCCTGGAGATTTGGATCCACCTGTACTGGTGGGTGGGGTGAAAGGTCTATTAGAAGAACTGTGAGATGGAGACTTGCTCTCAGTGTCTGCTTTCTTCCGCTTTGGAGGCTTATCTTTGCTCTTTCCATCATTGGAAGGAGTTCGGCTGCGCTTGCCTGGTTTGTTGTCTAACCCAGGGCCTGATACACTGCCAGCACCAGTGCCATTACCTTCCTTTACCCTCTTTTGAGGTTTTTCTTTCCCTAATTCTCCTGCGGTCATTAAAGGACTCTGACTACCACTGTGGTGTTCCATAAGATCTGCAGAACCCAAAGCCTTACCAGCTACTGATATAATACTGAAGTCAACTGTGTCAGCTTGGCTACTGCTCTTAAATTTTGTTTCCCCATTATCACCCCCAAGTATTGGCATCCCCAAAGTATTTAGTGCCTGAGATGCAAATCCTTTGAAATCATCATTATCCCCACTCTGACTACTTTCATCAAAATATTCTTCTCCAAAACCACTTTGGCTTTGGCTGTTCAACAAATCAGGATTGAAATCTACTCCATCAGGGAAAAAATGATTGGTAGGAGAATCACTACTGGGGCTTGCAGCTGCATCAGCAATAAGGTCAGCTGGATCAGTGTATGGATTTTCATTATTATTAGTTTGAAAGACATCAGAGTCAAAGAGGGCACTCTGAGAATGCCCAGAACTTGAAGAATCGCGAACAGGGGTGCCAATGGGTGGGCAATCATCACTAGTGCTGGGAAGCTTTGAGGCTTCTTCTGCAATGTCTGAAAGGATATCAGTTACATCTGGGCCAATGCTGTCTGAACTGGATAGTCGGACCATCCTTTGAATACTGGGCTGGGGGTGAGGCACTGGTTGGGGGTAAGTTGTAGGGGGAGTACTACACTGGCTTGGAGCTGGAGTGATATGTGGTGTGTCCAGCGCGTCAGCCGTCATGCTGACGTCAAACATAGGGTTCTGGGAGTCGACATCCATTGAAAAGAGCTCTCTCTGAAACTCGTCTTCAGTCTGGTGCTTGGATTTGTCAGGTGGTACTCTTGATGACTTCTTCTTCTTGGTCTTGTTGCTCCCCGAGCACATTTCCATCCGGGGTGATCCGGAAGAGGAGTTCTGCCTTTCTAAAGGGCTGCTTCCATAAAGGGTTGAGAAATCCTGGGCAGGGTTATCTTTAAGAAGGTTCATGAGCATCGGGTGGTTCTTGGTGTTGCCGGCCATCGAAGAGACAGGTGGCGGCGTGTGATGAGGAGGGGTCGGACTCGAGCCAATGGTAGACCCCCCGTTCCCTGTGATTTGCAACAAACTGGTAAGAATTGGGTTCTGAGACACCTTGCTGAAGTCCTCCCCATGGCCCACCGACTCATGCCGATCTCTGATGCTCATGCTCATGTTAAACAAGGTGGTAATGGGACCCCCCGGAAAGGTGTTGGTTGGTGTGGTGGTACCACTCATTGGGTTGTTGCCTGTGGCCATGCCATACCCTGGGCTGCTAGCCGGGGGCAGGTTCTTTTTCACCATGTCTTCAACTGTCTCTGCAATGAGGGACAGTGCTGGGGTGTCAGCCTGTATGGTTTCAGCCTTCCTCCGAATAGCCCTCATCGTCACAGGGATGGACATACATCTGTAAGATAGGAAGAAAGAAAATAAGGTAGCACTGTATTCATTAGCTGATGAATAAAACCTAACATTTATTGGGAACAAAGAGTTGTACTTTTGCCTGAGATTTCGTTAAGCGTCACGAGGTTTTACTTAGCAATTTTCAGATAAGTAATCTGTAAGACAAGAGTAATTTTACCAAATTCTAAAATTTTGCGTATATTAATTCTAAAAAGAACTGTGATTCAGTAAGCAATTATTAACTGCTTATGAAACACAAATTAAACCCAAACTAGAGTCCAAAAGCAGTTTACACTGAACTAAAGAAAGCTAGTCCTCAGGCATGGGTGGACAAGAACTGTGAGTTCAAAGCCAGAGACCCTGATTCAAAAATAAAAAGTATGAAGAAACAAAGGAAGGAACTGTAATGATAATGGAACTTAGTAAGAAAATACCTCCCTTTTGGGGCTTCGCATGGCCACAGGTGATACAAAAGGACTTGTGAAAAGTACTGATGCTGCTGTGCAGTACTGCTTACTTCTAACTCCTAGGTAAATTTACACTATGCACAATTTTTTTTTGCAACACTTTTGAAAAAATTTTACTTTAGTATGTATGCCAGCAAATTCGTTCCTAAGCTAAACAACCTGTAAGCGTTCTGTCTTAAAGACACTAATGTTTTTGATATTTTTGCCAGATATTTGTAAAATGAAGAGCAGTGCTACAATAAAATTTAATGGGAATCTATTAAAATGTGTTTTGAGGCGTGGGGATGTGACTCAATTGTTACAGTGCCTGCCTGTTACGCACACGGCCCTGGGCTTCCTCCACAGCACAAAATAAAACCAGGAGGCTGGGGCCTCTAATGAAAGCACTCAGGATGTTGAAATAGAATGATCAGAAGTCCAAGGTCATCCATTGTCACATTATCAAGGCCTGCTTGCAATACAGAGGCCCTGTCTCAAAACTTAAATTAACAACATCTATTTTTAAAACTAGGCTGTCAGCCCTCTACTTTAGAAATAAGCATTAAAAAATTACATATTAATGTTTCCAGGAAGCTGACTTAAATATTACTTGCCACGCATAGCCATTTAAAATGGTGTATCTCTTAAAATGCAGTAAAATAAGGTAAAGAAAAAAAATATTTAGGCCAGGAATGGTGAGACCTGCCCTTTCAACTCAGCACTCCAAGCAGAGACGGGCCAATCTCTGAATTCACGGTCACCTTTCCTAAATAGCAAGTTGTAAGTTGTATGTCCACAATAATGAGAAACTGTCTTTAAAAAGAAAGAAAACATGCATCTTTTTCTCTCTCTCTCTCTCTCTCTCTCTGTCTCTCTCTCTCTCTCCTGAAAAGGATTTTAATAACAAGGCTTGAAATTACCAGCCTTGGGCTGGAGAGGTGGCTCAGCAGGTTAAGAGGCTTCTCTTCCAGAGGTCCTGAGTTCAATTACCAGCAACCACATAGTAGCTCACAACCATCTGTAATGAGATCTGGCGCCCTCTTTTGGCAGACAGAACACTGTATACATAATAAATAAATCAATCTTAAAAAAAAAATTACCAGCCTCATCCCTATTGCTTTCACAGTAACAAACAAAATTCATATTTTTAAAACCAAAATATAATGAATTCAAATAAATGGCAATGTTTTTCTTTTAATTTTTTTGAGACAGTTTTTTATCTTTTAAATTCATGTTAAAAATAAAAGCATATAGCATGGTGATGCACACCTTTAATCCCAGCACTCTGGAGACAGAGGTAAGGCAGATTTCTGAGTTCTAGGTCAGTCAAGGCTACACAGGGGAAACCCTGTCTTGAAAAACAACATAAATAAATAAAAGCATACACACACACAATTTGTACGAATCTTAATGAAATTCTGATGGACAAAGGGCCACCACTACCTTTGAACAACTTTGGCAATGAAGTCATCTGTGCAGATGAGTGCATCTGACAGCCCCTTGTAGAGTTTACAGCTCACATGTGTTGAGTCCTGCACATCCATTACCACTGAAAGACAAATTGTACAGATACTTGTGATACATTCAGCTTCTCACCTTTCAAGAAAAGATACACCCCAAGAAAGATGTTTCCACCTAACAACTCACCACACACAAGGGAGTCATTCACAGGGTGCTGAAAAGATACACTAAATCGAGACTCTGAGAGGGGACATACTTCAAACTGGAGGAGCCCAGGAGAGTCTGAAAAAGAAAAAAAAAAAAAGGAAAAACATAATAACCATATTTAAGACACGAGACAAATCATTATCTTTATATAGACTGTGAAATAGCCAGCTGACCATCAGGATCACACATGGAACAAATACACATAAGACAAGCAAAACATTCCTGCATATAAAATATAAAAAAATTACTAAGTATACTGTCTTGAGAGCGAATTAAGAAACCAAAAATGGGCAGTGTGACCCAGCCACAGAAGAAGCAAGATGCGACTGCCTCACTGAAAAAGAAATGTGGAAGATGTGGCACTTTCGACCAAGAAAGAAGTTCAATGCTTGAAGTGGGACTTAAAGGGCCATCCTAGTAGAAACTTGGAAGACAGCGCTGAGAGCAATGTGGACTATGGATGCCCAGCTCAAGCGGTTTCAGAGAACAAGGGTGGTGACTGGGCTAGAGAGCATTCTTTCGATGTAGCTGCTTCTGCAACTTATCCTAAAAATCTGCTGAGAATACATTGAAGAGTTTTGGAATAATTTCATAGGCAGAGACAACCTAATATTGACAACAATATGTCATGTGGCTATTAGAGATCATGCATATGCAGATCTACAAAGAAAACCAGCAAGCAGGGAAAGGTAAATATAAAAAGAACAGTTTGAGGAAGTATAGAACAGCAGGAAATTTAATGTTGAGCCAAGTCTTAAGAGATGAGAAATCTAAAGAAAGACCTGATGCAAAAAGGAATAAAGGGAGTGGTGTCCTCACAGCAACTTGTAAAAGGAAAGCTCAAGCAACAAAGAAAGCCATCAGCAAATCAAAGCTTATGCATATGGATTAAAGGAGGTGGCTAGGTCCCATCCCAAGCATAGCTTGGTAGCATTAGTCACATGGTTCTGTCTTTATAGTCCTGAAGGATACAAGAGTAAAGGGGTTCTGAACTTTTCAATGAGATTAAAGGAGAGACACTGAGGCAAGATGTGTGGCAGGGTAGCCCTGCTTAGAGCCCCCCCAAAAAAAGTCACTGTGGCCGGGCGGTGGTGGCGCACGCCTTTAATCCCAGCACTCGGGAGGCAGAGGCAGGTGGATCTCTGTGAGTTCGAGGCCAGCCTGGTCTACAAGAGTTAGTTCCAGGACAGGCACCAAAAACTACAGAGAAACCCTGTCTCAAAAAAAAAAAAAAAAAGCCACCATGTGAAGCTAAAGCTTGGATTGTGTTGGAGCCTCGAAAATATTGGAGATGCCAGAGCTATGGTATATTTGCCAAGTAGAAGCAGCTGAAGATAGAAAAGTGTGTTGCAGTTAGCAAATCTGGAAGGATGGAGCCATCTAAGTCCTTAGACACCTAACAGAGAGCTACAGGATTTAAAGTCTGCCCTGATGGGTTCTGTATTGCTTTGAACCACTATTTTATTATTTTCCTTTTTGGGATAGTAATGTATATTATGTGCCATTTTATTTTGGAAGTAATATGATTTTTAATTTTATAGGAGATTACAATAAAAAGGTTGCCTTGATCTCAGAAAAAAAAAATGGCTAAGAAAAGATTTTTTTTGTCTCATTTTAAAATGTATGATATGGTCTTGTTCTGTATTCCAGGCTACTCTTGGACCCATAATCCTCCTGTTTTAAAGTCTCTTTAGTACTGAGGTATGGTTATTCACCATCATGCATAGCTCTCAATTAGAGGGTTTCAATTCTATTTGAGAAGTAGTCATCTAGTACTATTGCCATAATATCCACTTTTTTGGGGTTGGTTGTTCTTTTGTGTTTCTGATCCACAATTTCACCAAGTAGCCCAGGGTGACCAAGAACTCACTATGTAGAGATTCACCTCCCTTTACTTGCTAGTGTGGAGATTAAAATTTGTACCAAGAAAGCCAGAATAAAACCTACTTTCTATCAAGATATTTATCTGTCAACTATGCATCGTATAATCTGATAAACAGAGAAATACGGGCTATTATCTAAAATGATTTATTGAGGTGGGCATGGTGGCACACACCTTTAATTTCAGCACTCGGAGGCAGAGTAGATGGATCTCTGTGAGGCTGAGACCAATCCAATCTTCATAGCAAGATCCAGATCAACCACGAAAACAGCGACACCAAATCTCAAACTAACAACACACACACGCACACTTATACCATATACATATAGGCTTATCATTATAGATTTGTGGAAGTAGAATAGCTTCCACTGCATACTCAGTTCAAGCTTGTCGAGGTACGTAAGACCCTACCTCTTAACAAAATTTATAGAGCACTTCTCTAGATTTACATTCCCTATTTCTTTTTTTAAAATATTTATTTATTATGTATACATAATTCTGTCTGTGTGTATGCCTGTAGGCTAGAAGAGGGCACCAGACCCCATTACAGATGGTTGTGAGACACCATGTGATTGCTGGGAATTGAACTCAGGACCTTTGGAAGAGCAGGCAATGCTCTTAACCACTGAGCCATCTCTCCAGCCCCTACATTCCTTATTTCTTGATGCCTACAACTTCCACTGATACGTAGCTACACTAGATAACTATCACTAGAATGTTACATGACCAAGGTAAAAAATAAACTAGAGCGGACAAAATTGACACAAAAGTTTGAAATGTGTTAGAAAAACAGCCCTTCAGAATCCAGACAGAAAAAGGAAGGGTCATAGGTCTTAGTTATTTAAAGTTATACACCTAGATTTTCCTAAGAATGGGGGTGGGGTGGAATGGTTTTTTAATGACTAGATCCAGCACTTTTTTTTTAAAAAAATAAATCCTTTTGCTTAACTTTCTGTGTCTTTAAGTGAGTTTATCTCATGTGCATGGTATGGTTTTTCTGTGTCCTTTTGTTTTTTAATTTATTATTAGGTATACAATGTTCTTTGTGCAGGTACATCTCCATGCCAGAAGAAGGCACCAGATCTCATTACAGATGATTATGAGCCACTACATTGTTGCTGGGAACTTAGGACCTCTGGAAGAGCAGCCAGTGCTCTTAACCTCCGAGCCATCTCTCCAGCCCCTAGATTCAGCACTTTTAACAACCTAAACGTTAGTAGCAAAAAACCATCTATCAAAATGCAGCAAGACAGGAAGTACAGACACAATGCCTAGGTATGTTTCCGTTTTCAAAAATTGGACAGGAATGGTCATGCAGACCTTAATATTAACATAGCAGAAGCTGAAGCAGGAGGATCACCTCAAATTCAAGGCTATGGGAAACAGTGAATTCAAGGTCAACCTGGACTACAAAATGAGCCTCTTTCTCAAAAATAAAAGCAAAAGAACCAGGTGGTGGTGGTGTATGCCTTTAGTCCCAGCACTCAGGAGGCAGAGGCAGGCAGATCAGCTGTGACTCTGAGGCTAGCCTGGTCTACAGAGCTTGTTCCAGGAATGCTCCAAAGCTACAGAGAAAACCTGTCTATAAAAACAAAACAAACAAAGAAACGAAAGTCATATGGGCATGAGCTACCAAATTCAAGCGCCAATGAAGAAGTCAACATCAACCTTCCTAAGTATAGCAAAAGGAAAGAGAGTACCTTCTTTTAAAACAGTTCTTTTGACACAGCTTCCAATTAGGGTGTTATAGGCCACTTGATGTCTGATCATATTCAGGATAAGAGGAACTCTGCCAGGGTGTTGAAAGGTGATTTTGCTAACCAGTGTTCCCTGCAAGCTTTGGCCATCTGGAAGAGGAGCATCCTTATTGAGGAAATAGCAGTGCTGCTGACCCGGGAGAGCCTAGGCAAAAAAGACCATAAATCAGTGATATTTACTTACACTGTACCTAACCACAAACTAGTCTGAAAGAAGAAGAATACAAAAGGAGGGGGCACACCAAAGCATGGGAAGTAATGAATTTCACAAACACACACACACACACACACACACACACACACACACAGAGACACACACCTCTCAATACCTGATATTATGAATACCAATTAGTTATTCATTTAGCTAAAAGATTATTAGCTAAAAGTCTATTAATGTACTATTAAGATAGATTCCTAACACAAAATACACCTCAGAAACTTAATTAGTAGTTCCTAAAGAGTTATAAAACTGTAATTTAAATAAAACATCCTATACAGTTATAATGTAGCTCTAATTGTTGTATGAAGGAGCTTCTCTGTTGTATAAACTAAACTTTAAACATTCATATGAAATTCAAGATCAGAAAAGGTTTGGGGTCTTTTATATTTCATGCATCTCAGCGTTTTGTTCTCCATTCACATTTAGAAGACCTTTCTCATTTGAAATCCATAGTGCTTAAATGGGCTAGGGCCAGAGAGATGGCTGAGCATTTAAGAGCACTTGCTGCTCTTTAGAATTTGAGTTCAGTTCCCAGCACTCATCCACATAACAGCTCACAACAGTCTATATAACTCCAAATCCAAGGGAATCTGACAGCCTCTTCTGGCCTTTCTGGGTGCACAAATGTGGCACACTTACATACATTTAGGTAAAATAGTCATAGACATAAAAATAGAGTTTCTCTTCATATTTCTGGCTGTTCTAGAACTAGCTCTGTAGACCAGGCTGGCCAAATTCACAGAGATCTGCTTGCCTCTGCATTCCAAATGCTGGGATTGAAAGCGTGTGCCACCATGCCCTCAAGAAAAAATTCTTAAGATCTTTAACCTCCTGTAAGTTCAAGTTAGCATTAAAAGATTTTCAACTCTGAGAGTACCTTTTATTTTATTTTAATTTAATTTTATTTTATTTTATTTGAGATAAGGTCTTGCTATATATAGCTCAAGTTGTCCTCTAAGTCAAGGCAATCCTTAAGCCTCTGACTTGAAAATGGCATTAAGTCCTGGCTTTCTTTGTAGATATTCTAAGTGTGCCTATAGTCACAGCAGTCTAGAGATCTGGTTTAAGATCATCCTTAGAAGTTCAATGTCAGCCTGGGCTACATGAGAACCTGTCTAGAAAAAAGAAGGGGGAGGGGAAATGCTCCTTGGTTAACAGCCACTTGCTGTTCTTCCAGAGGACCCAAGTTGGTTCACAGCACCTACACAGCTGTTCACATTCCCTGTAACTTCAGTTTAGGTAATCCTAAGGCACCAGACACACATATGCTGCACATATATACATGAAGGCAAAACACCAACACACATAAAATTCAAGAAATATATTTATATATAAGTATATATAAAGTAAATATAAATATATAAGTGTGTATATATATATATGTGTGTGTGTGTACAAATAAGTATACACACACAGAAAAGTACATGGTTGTTTCTTAACTTCAAAACACATTCTCTTTTGCTTTATTATGTTTAAGATGACTTTTTTTGCCCAACTAAAGATGATTAAGCCATCAGAAAACAGTTATCAGACCTCCCTAATGCTATGAAGTACCAACAATGTTCCAGATCCACTATGCCTACTTACAGCATAAAACCGCATGTTGTGATTCAAGGGTACCGGGTCTGGATCCTTTGACAGCTCAAATTGAGTGATGAGCTCATAGAGGGGCATGTAAGTCGGCGGAGTCTCAAATAATGGGATTCCTGGAAATACAAGGACTGATTATAATGATCACATTAAGATAAAATTAGTGACAGCTCTATTTTCCATTTATGGTTTTCCTATTTATTCACCTATATATTCAACAAGTCCCTATTAATATCTAACACCTAGTGTCTGTACTCATAAATACTTCCATGAGGCCTAAAGGACTGTAAATTATTTAATATAATCTGAAGTTTCCCATTCACATAACTAGTAAATTTTATTTTAATAGGTAAAACCTACTCTTATTACAGTTTGGTAAAAATTCTTTTTTTAAAAAAAATAGAGCTTACCTGTGCAGCTCTGCAGTTTCTGAACAAATGCTTTAGATACTGGGATTGGCTGAGGAAATTTCAAGAAGAAACAGGCAGGAAGATCAACACTGTTGGCACTAGTGACTGAGGAGAAAGAAGGGGTCCTGTAAAAAAAAAAAGAAGAGGGAATATTTTCCATTTTGAAAACTTTGAACACCTTTCCTTAGACACGTATACATTACATAGACCCATACAACATCGATCAAGCAAAAGTTCACTTCTGTACTTTCCTACCCATAATTTAAAAATAAATTATCTTCTTAAGTGGGAAATATTTAATGATGGATTTATAATAGGGTTTAGGGTCTAACTCAGTGTGATGGTATGTGCTTCTCATTTGTAGCCCTGATACCAAAACCCAGAAACAAAAATCTGTTTAATTTACTTAAGACAGATAATAAGGTCTAAAGCTAGGTGGTGGCGCATGCCTTTAATCCCAGCACTCAGGAGGCAGAGGCAGGCAGATCTCTGTGAATTCAAGCCCAGCCTGGTCTACAGAGCAAGTTCCATGACAGGCTTCAAAGTTACACAGCAAAACCTTGTCTAAAACAAACAAAAAAGAGGCGGGCAGAAGTGGAACGCACCTTTAATCCCAGGACATGAGAGGCAGAGGGAGGCGGATCTCTTTAAGTTCAAGGATCTACAAGGGCTAGTTTCAAGACAGACTCCAAAGCAACACAGAGAAACCCTGTCTCGAAAAAAACAAAAACAAACAAACAAAAAAAGCTAGGGGCTGGGGAGGTGGCACATAAGTTAGCACTGGCTGCTCTTCCAGAGGTCCTGAATTCAACTCCCAGCAATTACATGGTGGCTCACAACAATCTGTAATGAGATCTGGTACCCTCTTCTCACATGGAAGTATACATGCAGGAATAATACTGAATACATAAATAAATAAATCTTTAAAAAAAATGTGATCTATAGGAAATGTTGACATAGCTCAGAACATGCCTTTAATCCCAGCATTCAGTAGGCAGAGGCAGGTGTATCTTTGAGTTCAAGGCCTGCCTGGTCTACATAGTGAGTTTCAGGACAACCAGGACTATCACTGAGAAATCTTTTCTCAAAAAACAAAACGAGAGAGAGAGAGACACACACTATCTAGTCTAAAGGACCTGGATTCAATTTCCAGCACCCAGTGGCAACTGACAACCTCTTCTAGCCTCCAAGGGCACAAGCATACAGATGGTGCACACATAGCAAAACACACATACTTCGGCAGCACATGTATTAAAACGGCAACAATACAGAGAAGATTAGCATGACCCCTGTGCAAGGATGGCATGCAAATTCATGAACCATTCCTTTTTTTAAAAAAGAAAAAAAATTAAAGGAAAATATTAACTATAACAAATTTGTCCTATGAGAGGTCAAATAGTAACATTCAAATAAGATGACTATAGAGTAAGGCAACATTTAGAAAATCAAGTAAGAGAAAAAAAGACAAAGTATTTCATACTGGACTTGATGCTGAAAAAAATGGACTTCACTACTTCAGAATCTAATACAACTTACCATTTGTTGTCAACTGGATGTGACCCCATAATTAATGGGGCAATTGGGAGTTTGTACATAGTAGAGGTTCCTTCAATTGTCACGGATGCATTCATGCCCAAAGATCGAGGAACTGGGAATATAACAAGCAAAAAGATTTTCTTCCTCATAATATAGATTACAAGGATCACAACACTAAGAGAAACAAAAACAACAGACAGGAATGATGATTCCAGCTCTGTAAACACTGAGCAGTCAAGAGAAGGAAGAAGAAAAATGTTGTGTTGAGGCCCTGCCTGAAAAATAACCCACTCTCAAAAATAGAACAAAGCACAAAAAAAAAAGAAAAAAAGCCAGACATCATTAGAGGCTACAGAGTGAGCTTGAGGTCAGTGTGAGGAGCAAGACTTTATTTTTCAAAAGAAACACAACAACAAAATGCAAACAACAAACAAAAAATCCTGCACTGTGAGTCACAATCAGTCAGATACCTAATTTTCACAAAACTTTAAAAAATGCTACAAGCTACCTTTTCACAGTCAATCAGTATTTCTTTCTGCTAATGATTAAAACACTATAGCCCAAGGGGGGGGGGTGTGGAAGAATGCATTAGCAATACTTATTTTTACTCACAACTTCCCAATGTATTTAAATGTGTTTATAATTATTATAATTACAGGACAGAGTCAATGATTGAACTTATAATGAGGTCAAATAAAGTACTGGGCTATTTCTTGTTCTTTTGCTATATTAGTCCAAACACAAGCCAGGTGTGGTGGTGTACATCCAGAAGTTCAACATCAATTACATAACAAGTCTGAAGCCAATTGACCCCACCCCTCCCAGTGTGACTACATGACATCCTCAAAATGTCAAAAGCAAAAAGTTAAAATACAAAGTGCTATTCATTACTGTACTTTTAGTCACATTTATTTATTTGATCAATTTTGGTATTTATTTGATCACTCCATAGCTTAGGTTGACCTTCAACTCAGGTTCCCCTGCCTAATCCTCTTCAGTACTGGCATTTAAGCATGTCCGAAACCCAACCTTCTCCTATAAAGTAGTAAGAAAAACTGGTTACTTTAAGTCAGTCATTTATATTCCATCATGAACTCATTTACACCTTAAGCATATGTGTGTGTGTGTGTGTGTGTGTGTTTAGGTATATAAATACATACACATGTATATATGTGAGGTGTATATATGATGTATGTTTGTGTTGTATCTGGAACATATTGTAAGGACAGCAAACTCATTAGGAAATAACAAACAATGAATTACAGGGATGGAGACTAAGCATTTGAATTTTACAAGTATTTTTAACACATTGAAGAAAGGTAAACATGGTGTTGTATGCCTATAATTCCAGCATTTAAGAAGTAGAGGTCATCCTGAAATATACAGCCAGTTGAGGTCACCCTGTCACACATCCAGCTGGGTAGTTTACACATACAACCTCAGTTCTTGGAAGGCTGAAGTGGTACGTATGATCGTTAGACTGGTAAGTTTGAGAGCCAGTTTGTGCTACATAGTAAATTCCAGAACAGCCTAGGTTACATAAGGAAAAACAACCGCTTACCATTCTTTTCATGCAAAACGATAGGAGATGCAGTCTTATCATCCAGCAGGTCAGAAGGAGAGGCATAGTATTTCATGTTCATTAAATGACCTATCATAAATGAAACTTATTATTTACAGCATCTTTATTAATAAATTATACTTTTAAAAAAGCATTCATACCTGTTGTGGTGTTGCTCACCTATAATCTAGACACTTGGAAGGGAGAACAAGAAGCTAAGGAGTCTTGGCTATATGAACTCCTATCTCAAACTAACAAGAAAAGGCTGGGGATAGCTCAATGCCAGAGTGGTTACCTACAATATGAAAGACCCTGAGTTCAATTAAATACTTCTCCCAAAACTCCTAACTAAATACATACACAAATGCTGAGCATGATGGCTCACACTAGCCTAAGATTACAGGAGGAATGACACAAATCCAACGCCAACCTATAATATATATTAAGTTCAAGACACACTTAGAAGACAGTAAGACCCTAATTCAACCTAAAAAGCTGGGTAAAAATGTAGTTGATAGAGTAATTTGCCTAGCATATTTCCCAAGGGTTTGGGCCCTGGAAGTGCATAGAACTCAGAATCTATGGAGAGATGCCTCAAAAGATAGGAACACTTGCTATTCTCCTAGAGGACACAGGTTTAACTTGCAGCATCCATATGGTGGCTCACAGTCATTGTAATTTGAGTTGCAGGGGATCCAAGTTATCTTCTGGGCTCTATGAGTACAGCATGCAGACATTTGTACAAGCAAAATATCCCTGTGCATTTAAAAAAAAAAAAGTAGAGCCAGGCAGTTGTGGTGCATGCCTTTAGTCCCAGCACTTGGGAGGCAAAAGACAGGTGGCTAGCCTGGTCTACAGAGCAAGTTCCAGCATAGCTAAGGCTAGACAAAGAAGTCCTCTCTCAAGAAAACAGACACAAAATAGATTTCTATATGTAAAAAACTATTCCACAGGGGCAGTAGATCGTTCAGCAGGTAAGGACATTTGTCACAAAGTCTGACAATCTTAGTTCCCAGGGACCTACATGGCAGAAGGACAGAACTGACTCCCATTAACTGTCCTTTGACCTCAACATATTTAATAGAACACCAACACACACACACACACACACACACACACAAGGAGAGAGAGAGAGAATATGTAATAAAATAAAATAGGGTTGCAAAGATATGAAAAGTCATGTTCTAAACCAGCTCATGAAATTTGACAGTAGATTATTGATTCTAGAAACAATATATTTCACCCAATAAAAAGAAAGAGACAGGGCAAGTATTAACATCTTAGAAGTAATTACAAGTCACTGGCAATTGTCTCCTTTAGCTTATGTCTTCACAAGCTCCAGGTAAAATTAAAAGTACTATCTCCTCAGGACTGAGCAGATAGTTTAGTAGAGCAATTTCTGGCTTAGCAAGCACCAAAAAAATAACAACAAAATGGTAATAAAGGTGCTAGAGAGATGATGCCTCAGTGGGTAAGAGTACGTGCCGTGCTAGCAGGAACACCTAGTTTGGGGTCTCAGTACTCATGTAAAAAGCCAAGCATGGCAACATGCACATGTGTAATCCCAGCACTGGTGCTTACGGGTTGCTGGCCTAGGTCCAGGATCCCCGAGAAACCCTGTCTCAAGGGAATAAGGCAGAGTGGTAGAATAGGACCTCTCCTCCTCTGGCCTCCACACAAACATGGACACCACATTCACATACGTACATATTAAAACAAAACAATGACCCTTAAACTAAATCTAGACATTTTCAAAATAATCAAGATAAGATAACGTACCCCCACTCCGTGGAGTGAGATAGCCAACACTTCCATGAAGGATCTTATCCAACGGAGTAGCATTAGTTGCCTTCCTACAAGACAAATGATCTACATTTGACTGAATTTAGTACCTGGCAGTTTCAGAACAATCTGATACTGAGTTAAGCTCACAAAAGTTTTATAATACTACCAAAATGACAGTACAATGAGAAATGCATTTCACCTCCAATAAAAGGGTCTATTTTCAAGTAAACATCAATATGTAACACAGGAAAAAGTAAACTAAGTCAGGTATGTATATTTCCGTAAGTCCATAGCTTGAGAGCATTATACTGGCGTATCCCATGTCAGCCAGCTTGGACATCCTAGTGACACTCCATCTCAAATTAATGAATAAAAAACAAATAGACTACTATTTATCATATAATGAATCCAAGTTTGAAAATATTTCAGATAGAGTCTATGGAATAAGAGTCAACAACTTAGAGAAATTAATACTCAGAAAATAAAAGGCAATCATTGGGGAAGCAACAGCAAAAGGCAAGTATGCATAATATAGGTGTAATACAGACAAATGCTACATAATTATATGAAAAGCTATGTAATCAGATATATCCAAAGTACACCCATGTAAAAACTAAGACCTTAAAAATCCTCTGGATGAGAAACTAAGAGAGTCATATAGAATGGTCTAAGCAGCCAGTCTTACCAGTACATAATTGCCATTTTAGAAAGGTCTTGTTCTAAGGATTGGAGAGCCAAATACATTTTAGTCTTCAGTTTGCTAGAGAGTAGATGAGAAAATGAGTTAAACACTTGAAAAACAAACACATACAAGCACTGATACAGGCCAAGCAGATCTCTCTAAGGTCAGGCTAGCCTGGTCTACAAAGCAAGTTTCAGTCTAGCCAAGGTTATAGAGTAAAACCCTATCTCAAAAAAAACAATAACAAAAGCAAAAAGTACCTAAAGGGTTAAGTCAACTCACAGGCTTTACTTTTAATAATGGTTAAAAGGCACAAAGCCACGTGCGGTTTGCACACCTTAAATCCCAGCACTCAGGAGGAAGAGGCAGGCAAATTTCTGTGAATTTGAGGCCAGCTTGGTCTATATAGTGAGTTCTAGTACATCTAGAGTTATACAGTGAGACCCTGTTTCAAAAAGCCAAACCAATAAATAAATGAATGAATGAATGTTAACAGAGTTGGACACACCTGCCTCAGCACTTGAGATAGAGAAAGGGGTAACTGAGGAATTCAAGGGCAGCCTCAGCAATACACTGAGGTCAAGCCTGGGCTACTATACTATTTTTTTCTCCAAAATAAACAAAAGTTTACTTTTAGAATCACCAGAGCTTATGTTTATTTCCCTATAATAATAAGAGCCATGCAGATTAATAGGATCCAGACTAGGCTAAAATAAACAGGAAAGCCAGTCCCATATACTGGAAATCAATACAGGAAGGCAAAAAACAAAAGCAAACAAATAAAACCTATGGACAGAAAAAAAAATTTAAAAACTAAGAAACACATACTTAAAGACAGAAGCTGAACTATAGATTACAGTATGAATAGAAACCAGGACTAAACACACAGCAGAAGAGTTAGAAAATGTGTAACCCAAAACGGTTCACAGACATACGCATTCTTCCAAAATGGAAAACTTATATAAATGAATAGATGAAATTACTTACTTGTCTCCTGGAAGGTTATACAGATTAACAAGACCCTTAAGGTGCTTAGAAAACTCATCAAAATTCTTTTCCCTGTAGGGAATTCAGGAAGGTGGAGAAGAGAGAATACAACATAAAATTACTACTTTATTCTACAAAAAGGGCCCAAAACATGGCTATCTACATTATTTTAATAATCTGCTCACATTGTTATCACAAAAAGAGCTTTTGTTTGTGTTTTTGATTTTCAAGCAAGATTTCTGTACCCCTGGGTGTCCTGGAACTCGCTCTACAGACCACCTTGGCCTCAAACTAAGAGATCCTCCTGAGAGGGCATGTGCCACCACCTCACAGGTGCCAAAGAGTTTTATAGTCAATGAAGAACGGGGGAAAAATTGAGGGCTGGAAAGATGGCTCAGCAGTTTAGATGGCTGCTATTTCAGAGACCCTGCTTTCACTTCTTAGCACCCACAAGGTGTTAAGTTTCCATCTGTAACACTAAATTGTTACAAGGCATCTGACGCCCTCTGTTGACCTCTATAAGCACTGCTTAATATGGTACAGATACAACATCCACACATACAAAATTTAAAAACTGAAAACAAGGGGCTGGAGAGATGCATCAGCATATTAAGAGTGTTGGCAATTCTTACAAAGGACCGGAGTTCAATTCCCAACACCAACATAGGCTCTATAATGAGATCCGATACCTTCTTCTGGCATACAGGCAGACATGCAGACAAAGCACTCATATACATAAAACATAAGTAAATAAATCTTTTAAAAAATTGAAACAAAGGGGCTGGAGAGATGGCTCAGCGGTTAAGAGCACTGACTGCTCTTCCAGAGGTCCTGAGTTCAATTCCCAGCAACCATGTGGTGGCTCAGAACTACCTATAATGAGATCCAGTGCCCTCTTCTGGCACTGGCAGGATACTGTATAAATAAATAAATAAATAAATAAATTTTTAAAAAAATTGAAACAAAAATTTAAGTCAAAAAGCAGCAGGACTTGGTGCTGTATTCCTATTAGCACTCCAGAATCAGAGCCAGGAGGATTGTAAGAGATCAAACTGGGCTACAGGACAAGACTTAATTTCAAAACCAAAAAGAAAGGGGAAGTTGAAGGAAAAAGAAAAAGAAAAAGAAAAAAAAAGGCATCACAGAATAAAGAAATATACTAGTATGGTGGCTTGTTTTTGATCCCAATATTCAAGCTTAAAATTTTACTAAGAAAAAAAAAATCAGGCAATGGTGGTGCACATCTTTAAACCTAGCACTCAGGAGGCAAAGACATGAGGATCTCTATGCGTTCTAAGTCAGCCTGATCTATAGAGCGAGTTCCAGGACATCTAAGAATGTTATACAGAGAAACCCTGTCTTGAAAAACCAAAACTATGAAAAACAAAGTGGTTGAAATGTGGCAACATTTTTCTTTTCTTCCACCCTTTACCATGTATTGATTTCAGTTATAATCCACAAAAGCTTATTTGAATAATTTTTTCTTTTTTATGAAAAGGATTCTCTGTGTAGCTCTGGCTGTCCTGGAAGTCACTTTGTAGACCAGGCTGGCCTCAAACTCAAAGATTCGACTTCCTCTGCCTCCCAAGTGCTGGGATTAAAGGTGTAAACCATGGCTACCACTCAGCTTTGTTATTTAACCTTAAAAGAAAATAAGCCTATGACAAAAATAAACAGCCCAACAATGCTAGACACTTTATCCTCCGTACTATAAGCACTTAAACAGCAGAGTGACAATAAAAAGAAAAGAAATAAGAGCGGCAGCAAGATATATTCCCTAACATGCTATTACCATGCATACTAAGACTAAATATCATACTAAAATATCAGCTAAAGAATAACTTTCATTTTGAAAAATGAAACAGGTTTACATATTAAACTATCACTAGTTCTTAAGTTAATACAATCTTCTACTCCAGGTGAAAGTCATTCACTCATTCTGGAGTATCCGGGTTACACATTTTGGTAAGCTTACAAATTCAATGCAATGGCTATATGGTTTATTTTACATTACATTACCTTTCTTTGTTTGCTTGTTTTAGTTAGGGTAGTACTTTGTAACTCAGGCTAGTCTGACATTATTTAGCCCAAAAAAGTCTCAAAAGTGAAGCAATTCCCCTATACTGGCCTCTGAGATGCTAGGAATGAATAAAGATATACACCATCATGATTACATTACAGTTTCTTATGCTTCATTCATTCATTCATTCATTCATTCACTCATTGCGTATGCAGTGTTCTAACAACATTTATGACTTCAGGCCAAAAAAGGGCACCAGAGCTCATTGCAGATGGTTGTGAGCCAGGATGTGGTTGCTGGAAACTGAACTGAACTCAGGAATCCTGGAAGAGCAGCCAGTGCTACATTATGTTACAGCTTTTAAAAGATGGTTACAGAACTGGCTCAGCAGTTAAAAGAACTGGCTATTCCTATAGAGGGCTCAGGTTTAGTTACTAGGAGCCAGTGGCTCATAACTGTTCATAGAAAAGACAACTATGTGGTGAACATTCATACATCTAGGCAAAAATATTCATATACACAAAACAAAATAAATCTGAAAAACTAAAATTATGGGACTGGAAAGATGCCTCAGCAGTTAAATGCACTGACTGCTCTTCCAGAGGTCCCAGGTTCAATTCCTAGCACCCACACTGCAGCTCAAAGCTCCAGTTCCAGGGGACCCAAAACCCATGGCAAAACACTAAAGCACATTAAAAATATATGAAGGTTGAAATTTGGTATATTTGACCATAAATAAAATAAACTACTAACACAGAAGCCTGACTATAAAACCTGCTCCCCCAAAGTTAAAAATCTTTATAAGACATTCCCAGCTATCTGAGCATTCCCTTATGTTCAAAACAAAACTGAACTTCCTCAAATTACCAGGAAGTCTTAAATTTAATTTAATTTTAATTTAATTTAATTTAAATTTAAACAATGGAATTCCGTTCAATTCAAAGGGAAAAAAATCAAGTCAATAGGAAAAGCCACCAGATAGAATGCTATCATCAAGTCTACTACCTTTATTGTAATGGATAATATATATATAGCTTTCTCTCAATCTTAAGTGAAAAAGTTTATTTTCATGGTATAGAAATATTCATAATTATCAAATATTTTCCGATTCAATGGTAGGGCTATGGGATGCTTAATCTTAAATGTTAATTAGATGGGATTTAAAATCATCGGGGAAACAAGACTATGGGCATATCTGTAGGAAAGTATCTAGGTTAGATCAATTGAAGTGCTATGACTCATTCTAAGATGTGGGTGGTACATCCATGAGCTGAGGACATAGACTAAGAAGAAAGAAAACAGAAAGAAAGAAAACAAACAAGCCAAGCACGCTGACGAATACCTTTAATCCCAGCATGGGAGTGGGGGGGTCTGTGAGGTGTTAAGACAGGATTGCTCTGTGTAGTTCTGGCTGTTCTCGAACTCCTCACTCTCTACATCTGCCTACCTCCAGAGCGCTGGGATTAAGGTATGCACCACTATGCCTAGCATTCTATTTATTTTTGAGCCACAAAATATTCCTAGGAGTCCATTAGTACTTCTTACCCAGTCGGGATTTTGTCCTGCAGAACATCTGACAATGTGTTTATGTATGGTGTATGTGTATGTATGTGTATATGTAAATACAAAAATATATACTTATGTATGTACATGTACATAAATAGATTAGTGGCTGGGGAGTGCTGGCCCATGCCGTTAATTCCAGCACTCGGGAGTCAGAGGCAGGCAGATCTCTGTGAGTTCAAAGCCAGCCTAGTCTACAAGAGCGAGTTCCAGGACAGGCTCCAACGCTACAGAGAAAAACCCTGTATCGAAAAACCAGATAGATAGATAGAGAGAGATCAAGCAAGAGAGCAAGTGAGAGAAAGATTTGAATTTTGTGGTGCTGAAAGAAATTGAACCTCCAAGGTCTTATAAACCAGGCAAATACCCCACTACTAAGCCATATCTCCAGCTCATACAGATAATTTTGATTATCATAAATGAGTAGATACTGATGAACTACAAGGGAAGAGGCCAGGGATGCTGCTAAATGCCCTATAATGTACAGAGTAATTCACTTGAACAAGGAAATGTCAGTAAGGCTGTGCAGTAGTGCACACCTGTGATCTCAGGGCTTAGAATAAAGAATGAGATCAATAGTTCAAGAATACCCTAGTTACATAATGAATGTGAGCCCATCATGGACTATCTAACACACTTTCTCAAAGGACACACAGAGACAAGCCTACTGAGAAATGCCTTTAATCAAATCATTCCAGAGGCACAAGCAGGTGGATCTCTGTGTGAGTTTGAGGCCAACCTGGTACACAAAGATAATTCTAGGTCAATCAGGGCTAAAATACTCTACCTCGAAGAAAGAAAGAAAGAAAGAAAGAAAGAAAGAAAGAAAGAAAGAAAG